AAGGAAATGTTCTCTATCCTGAATTAGGTGGTGCTTCCACATTAAAATTCACCAACCTAAGCACCTAAGATTTGTGCACTTTATGTATAAAGTTTACCTCATCAATGTACTGTACTCTCCTCCCTCACTAGAAATCACTAACCAGATAGTACACCATTCCACCATAGGGGGGTCAGACAAGCCAGGAGTCGCCTTTACACACATTAGCTGGTGATCTTGGCTAAATCACCTACTCTCTCTAAGCTCCAACTTCCACATCCTTAAAAAGGAGCTAATCACTGTGCCTACCTTTAGGAACACCCCCTAGCCCCAGACACAAAAAGCTATGTTATATTTATGAATTCATATATCTCTATCTCTCTATATATCTGTCTCTCTATATCTCTCTATATATCTATATCTATATCTCTCTATCTCTATCTCTATCTATACCTATGCCTATGCCTATACCTATACCTATGCCTGTGCCTATACCTATATCTATATCATCTATTATATCTATATCTATATCTATATATCTATATCTATCTGAATAACCTCGATGGCCCATCAGTACTGGAGACAGAATCAATTGCATCCAACAACTGGTTCACGGTCCCTAAAGGAAGGAAGAACCTCATCTTGACACGGTCCCAGAGATGCGCGAGGAGGGGCTCAGGAGGTGCACACCTGAAACTCCAAGCTTGGAAGTGGATCCTGTAGAAGTTACCGAGACAAAAAGGCAAGAAGTGGGGAGTGAGGAGAACCCTGCAGCTCTGGGAGGCCTGTGCACCTAGCCAGGCTCAGGCCACTGTGTTCGGCTGTGTGGGTTGCACGCTGCTCAACTCCAGGGCGGTGGTCCACGGGAATGGTGCCCCTGAAGCTGTGTTTGCAGGACCACTGTGAGGGGCACCATCGGAAGGCTGAGGTCTCATCTGCTGAAGGTCCCACCAGCTCCAGGAGAACCTCTCAGGGCAGAATCTCACGTTGGCTGCATCAGCCCTCCACCTGGTGATTTCTCACAGGAGCAAAACCCACCACAGTGGGACTTGGTTCCATCCCTGTCTGAGTGCCCTGCTCCATTCAACTCCACCCGGGAATGTCCCAGGAAAACTTAGTTCCAATGGTGAAGGTGTGAGACCCTGCGATTGTACTTGGGGAGGTGGGAACCTTTGAGCTGAGCCATGTTAGTGGCCCCACCCCATCGTATCTGCTGATAGCAGTAGTGTTACTGTTCATACTGATAAACCTCTAACTGGCTGATTGGGAGCTTTGATATCTAGCACAACTATGATACAAATGAATTTTTAATACATAGATGAAGTCAAAACAAATAAGGAAATGCTGCCATAAACAAAGAGAGAATCTGAGGCCAGAGGAATCCGAATCAGCTAAAAATTACTCTAGACCAAGAGAATGTCAGACCCAAATATAGACCTCAGAGGCTGGAGGCTAAAATTCCAAAAAAAATTTGATGACAAACTAGCTGGATGAGCCCCCTGCACAAAACTCAGATCCTCTGAGACCTGCCATGTGCTTGATAAAGGCCCTTGAAACATTACACCCACCAGCCTGAGAACAAAAGCAAAGAAACATATTGCTGAGACCTTGAGCCCATGCCCAACCTTTAACACCATCAAAAGAGACATTATACACCGCATGATATGGTCTAATAAGTAGTTAGTGCATCTAACCACCTATTCTTGTCAAAATGAATTGAATCTGAACCCAATAAAGCTTCTACATCTAACTATCGGTTTACCGATAAATGACACTACACGAAACCAATCAGCCAAATCCAAAATATGGGAAAGTCTTGTCCAATGGCCCAGTTTGTCCAGTAAATCAATGACATGGCGGGGGGTGGGGGGGAGGGAAGGAGGCAGGGAGTGTGGACAATAATATAATGATAAGACTTGGGAGATAAAGCAATTAAATCCAATGTATGGACATTATTTAGATCCTGATTCAAATAACCCATAAAAAGGCACCTGTTAGATGATATTGTTACTGTTAACTCAGTTATGTGGAAAGGAATGGGAGTTTTTTTATGTTTCTGCCAGTTTGCCAGGGAATTGACATATCTGATATTTGCTTCAAAATACTGCAGGAAAAAAAATGTTGACTGGGAGAATGTAGAAGAAACAAGATCGACAAAGTGTTAATTGTTGAAACTAGAGTTCACTACACTATTTTCTTTATGTTATATATTAATGAAATTTACATAATAAAAATTATTTTATGTATGTATTTATTTTTTAATTTCTTTATTGAGTTTAGAGAGAGAAACATCGATGTGAGAGTGAAACATTGATTTGTTGCCTCCTGCATCCACCCTAACCAGAGATTGAACCCATAACCTGGGTATGTTCCCTGACCAGGAATTGAACCCACAACCCTTCAGTGCCTAGGGCAATGTTCCAACCAACTGAGCCACAATGGCCACGGCCATAATAAAAATTTTTTTAAAGAAGCAATGAATGGAAAGCAAAGAAATTGGTAAACATAGCCGAAACCGGTTTGGCTCAGTGGATAGAGCGTCGGCCTGCGGACTGAAAGGTCCCAGGTTCGATTCCGGTCAAGGGCATGTACCTTGGTTGCGGGCACATCCCCAGTGGGTGATGTGCAGGAGGCAGCTGATCGATGTTTCTAACTCTCTATCTCTCTCCCTTCCTCTCTGTAAAAAATCAATAAAATATATTTAATAAAAAAAAAGAAATTGGTAAACGTAATAATTGAATGTAAAAAGGAATCACTAAATCTCATGTACAGAAAATTCCTAAATAATTTATGTAGCTCCTCTGCCCTCAAGGAGGTGGAACATAACTCCCCACCCCTTAAGTGTACGGTGCTAAGAGGGACTTGATTGGACTGTCGGGCCTTAGAGGGAAGGTAGGGGAGGGTGGGGGTAAGGGGGAGAGATCAACCAAAGGACTTATATGCAAGCATATAGGCCTAACCAATGGACATGGACAACGGGGGGGAATGAGGGAGGGGGGGTAGGGGATAACGTGGGGATAAGGACACAGATGTAATATCTTAATCAATAAAAAATATATTTAAAAAAATACAGAATGGAGAAGAAGGAAAGAAGAGTAACATTGCAAGGGAAAATTAGGTATGAGGTTTGCAGAAACTCTGTGATATGGTGGCAACTTTCCTGTAAAACTAAAACTTCTAAAGTAAAAAGTTTACTAAAATATTAATAACTTCTGAAGAAGTAAAAAACACAAACAAAGTTATAAAGTAATAGCAATACTGACTTAAATCAAAACCACTGGGGTGGGTATCAGGCATAATTTTTTTTAGATGAAAAGACACTTTATTATCATTTTACTATCTATATATATAAAAGCCAAGCAACTGGAATGACCAGTTGCTATGTTGCGCACTGCGGTCAGCCAACCAGCCCGATTGGGGGTGGGGCCGGTGGGCCAACCTCCTGCAGCCCCTACCCCTGGCCGGCTGGACCCCACCAGTGCATGAATTCATGCACTGGGCCTCTAGTATAATATATTAGTGAATAAACCTGAGTGCAGGCAGAGTTATTTTTTTAAATATATTTTTACTGATTTCAGAGAGGAAGGGAGAAGGAGAGTGAAAGAGAAACATCAATGATGAGAGAGAATCATTGATTGGCTGCCTCCTGCACGCCCCCTACTGGGGATCGAGCCCACAGCCTGGGAATGTGCCCTTTGCCGGAATCAAACCCAGGACCCCTCAGTCTGCAGGCCCACGCTCTATCCCCTGAGCCAAAGTGGCTAGGGCTGCAGAGTGATTTTTTTAAAGTGCCCACGAAAGAGAGGCAGAGACAGAGACGGAAGGACTCAGAGAAGGAGATACACGTGTAGAGGTTATGGACTACATTGTATTCCCCAAAACTGAAGCTCTGACCCTCAATGTGACTGTATTTAAGATAGGGCTTGTAGGGAGGCAATTAAGGTTAAATGAGGTCATAAGCTAACCATTTTGCTCAAGAAGTTAGAAAAAGAACAGTGAGCATTTAAAAAGTGGAAGAAGGAAATAAAAGTAAGAACAAAATTAGCTGTAATGGCCAACAAAGGCACACTGTGGAGAGAGGACGGTTCATAAAATGACAACAGAATTGTGGCTGACAGACAAGAAAACTATGAAAAGAATGCAGAAACCAATCAGGCAGGGAAGAAAAAGATAAATTGAAGCCAGCCAAGTGGAGAAGGAAATTAGGCATATTCCAGCTAAGGGTGCAGAATTTCATTTCCCCAAATCAGGTGATAAAAGATGGAAAGAGATTACAATCGAAATTGGTGCCCAGGGAACATGTGAGGCACTTGCAAAAGGATTGGGTTGGGCGAGCCGGTGGCTGCTCGGCCCCTGGCATAGACAGGGTCCAATTCTAAGAAAAGGCTTAGCATGTGACTCAGGTAGAATTGGCCTAGATCAGAAGTTCTGAGGATCCCAGAGAGCTTTTATTTTCGTGGGTTGTAGCTCTCAATAATGAATGCATTAAAAATTAAAACTAAAATTTAAAAAATACTGTAGTTATTTAAAAATAACAAGAATAAATCCAATACATTGTTTACCAAAAAATGAGAACAATCCAAATATCCACAAATACCGAAAAGCCCAGTGCACTTGGTTTATTTATACAATAGAATATGATGCAGCTTATTTTTTACTGAATCTATAGATAACTACATGTTGTTTTTTGTTTTGTTGTAATATATTTTTATTGGATTTCAGAGAGGAAGGAAGAGGGAGAGAGAGATAGAAACCTCAATGATGAGAGAGAATCATTGATTGGCTGCCTCCTGCACACCCCCCACTGGGGATCGAGCCCGCAACACAACCCGGGCATGTGCCCTTGACCGGAATCGAACCTGGGACCCTTCAGTCCGCAGGTTGACGCTCTATCCACCGAGCCAAACCGGCTAGGGCAGATAACTACATGTTAACAACAAATCTGGGGGCGGGGGAAGAACCCCTTTGAATGAAAAAGGCAAGTGGCAAAAGGATAGAAAATAAAATACCATTCATGTCCATTTTTTTTTTTAAGAACCAAAATAAATTTATTTACAAGATTTCGTACTTGACCAGTGAAGAATCAAGAAAAAATATACCAAGAAACAATGAACTATGACCCCACAAATAGTCTTTAAGCCAGTTCATACAACACAACCACCAGAGCAGCTCCTGATAATTAGGCTTAAAAAAAATATCCTTCTGCATGTCCTTGAATTGAACAAGAACATACATTTGACCACAGGATCTGTATAAGTAACATCATGGGACTTGTAGAATCAGTTGAGTCACAGTTTCTAGAGTATTATTCCCTTTCTACCTTACATAGATGTTTCATCATGTTTGTTGATTCCTTTGTTGGCTTCTTTTTCTTTTTCTCCTCCTTTGTTGGTTTTCTCTTTTTCTCCTCTGTTGGCTCCTTTCTCTTCTTCTTTGTCTTGAACACTGGTGTAAACTACTTTGTTATGGCCTTCCCGGTTCCGAGCAATTTCAATGGCAAAAAATTGTATCCTGGGGGCAAAGATAGTGTTTTCCTCAGTGTAGCCTTGAGAACAATCCAGTCGCAGCAAAGTACCATAGTTGAAGTCTTCTATAACCCCATCAAACTTCAAACAAAATGGCCTCCACTTCTTGTAGTAGACTTCAGCATGCTGCATTGCTCTCATGGCCCATGCCATCTCAATATCAGGGTCGTTGCCGTAAGACTCAGCTGGGAGAGAAAGAGCATGTGCCACTGATACCAGTTCCCCGGAAACCGGCTTTTCAGTTTCACCAGTCGCCTCCATGTTGCAGCTAACAAAGCCCATTCATGTCCATTTTTAAGGCAGAAGATACTAATTGGTAAAGTGGGTCTTTGATGCGAGGCTAAATTTGGGCCTATTTCAGTAGGCAGCTCATTGAATGAGTTGTCAAAAGATTTTGAGCAGGAACCCCACATCTCTGCTATGAAGATCAGTCTAGCGGTCCTTACCTTGGGTCCACACACACAGTACAGGGGGCTTGTATCCTTGCATGGGGAAAAATTTACCTTTATTTTCAGGAAATGGAACATTTCCCTTATGAATGGAGTCAACAAAGCTCAATGGTATTGGCAGGAGCTGTGACTGTCAACGATAGTAATCACAGATATTTCTATCACCTTACAGTTATGGTAAATGTTTTAAAATATCCCTACACTCATCATAGCATACGATCTGCTGCTGGATCTCATCACTTAATGGCTTAATAAAGACGCACATATATATTACACCACAGATTTGATTTTTAAAACATTTTAAAAATGCACACACACACACACACACACACACACACACACACACACACACACTCTAGCTTGGAACCCTCTGAGCTCAGCTCCAGGCCTGGCTCTAGCAGAGGGCAGGCAGCCCAGGATATAGCAGAGGCCTCGGCTCTTTCCTCCAGACAATCAGGAGCCACAGGAGGGGCCTCTTGCTGGGATCATTGCAAGGAGCCCTGGGGTCACTCAGGGGTCAGGAGGCTGCCTGCTGCTGCCTGAACCACAGACTCCTGGGGACTGGAGTCTCTGCAGCCCCCATGCTGCACTTCTGTCATTTCCCCTTTGGCCTCTCCCAGGCAGTGCTTGTCTTAACTGTTGGCCTAATGACACCCATATAAAATGGGGGAGGGGAGAGCATTGCCCAGGGACCAGTGAGAAGGTCCCTGGGCACGGCCAGGGCAGATCTGCTAAGGTACGGGGTGGGCAAAAGTAGGTTGACACTTGTGGGTACGTGAAACAGTTTATTCTTGTCTTATTTATTCATTAATTGCTTATTTGTATTATTTGTCTTCTTATTATTATTCCATATCCTTACTTATGATTCGTGTTTTTAGGTAACGATGGCTGGTAATTTAAAGTACTTTTGCCCACCCCTGTATTTGAGAAATATGTCTCTGCATTAATTGGTGCTTTCCGCCCAGGTGACCTAGAAACCTGTCTGCCTCCTCTCCGCCTCCCCAACTTCGCAGGTGTTGGCTGGCCTCCACTCCGCGGCAGGTTGGAGCACAGGGCCCACCTGTGCGCGCCCACGGAGTGTCCCGTCTCTGCTCTGCTCTGCCCCCGCTGCCCCCTCACTTAGGCTTGGGGGGAAGGTGGAGGAAACTAGAAGAGAAACAAAACGGTTCTTGGCCTTGACAGAGGGAAGGGGGAGGCAGGCAGTGGCACCTCCTCCCTTTCCCAGTGTAGGCCCCGGCGCGATCAGGGTACTCCCCCCGACCCTCATCCCTATC